CAAATAATTCCAGATACTGGCAGATGATACTGGCTATGTGAACATTTAAAATATTCCAGGACAAATATCAGCATGTTTAATACATGTTCAGGAGAAAAAAAAATAATGGTTATCCCCAAAATAAACCATCACACTTCTGATCACAGCAAATAGCCTCCTGCCCTCTGGTAAATAGGGGTTGCTTGTAACAAGCTTAAATTCTATGAATAATAAATCAGGAGGCTCTAGCATGTCCCTGGAAATTCCGCTAAGTTTTCTACAAATACAAAACGGACATATGTCTTTGAGATAGGTCTCCTGACTGAAAAGTAATGTATTGAAACTATATCTGTTTCAGGGACTGATCTTAGGGGATACCTCTGCAACTCTGAACAAGATCTCACTAAAATTAATTTCACCACAATCAGAAGGGGATTTCTAGACTCCAGAGCAGTGAACAGTCATAGGTTTCCTCTCTTTCAAATGCAGCTTCTGGATAGGGGGCCCTCCACTCTCGTTCTCGGGATCAGGGCAGGAACCAGCCGGTGCATCTCAGTCCGTGATGGCGGACGGTGTGTGGTGGTGGGAAGGGCGCTGCCTTTCCATTCCTTTTCTGAGGCAAGAGGATGGACTTGGGAGAAAAGTTAATGACCGTCTCACACTGGATGAAATACAAAACAACCTCCAAACAGGCTGAGCTCCCATACAACTTCCTTTCTCTCTACTTGGACTGAAAAGCAAAATCATTTCTCCATAACGTACATAATAGCAAGATCTACACAGCAGAGAGCCTAACGGGGTGCCCTCCAGCAGCGGTTTGTGTCCGTTCATTTGGGGGTCCCTGCCCGGTCCTCCCCAGAGCCTCCTCCTACTCTGCTTTTCTTGAAAACATGTGTGCCCGTCCCTCACCGTCCATGCCTGCCATGTGTTTTCACGTTGTCTGTCTCCTCCACTAGAATGGAAACAGCATAACCACAGGGATTTTGTCTCTCGCCCACCTTTGAATCCCCGCAGTTCCTGAAAGACGGCTGGCATCTTTGGTGGAATTTGCCTGGAAGTGTACAGACTTGAGGGCATGTCATTTATTTGGAAGAGGAGGAAGAAATGAGACCAATAAGACGAAGAAGGAAGAAAAACCAACTAAAGAGATGTTATCAGCTGGGGCTTGATGGCTCACACTGGTAATCCCAACACTTCGGGAGACGGAAGAGGATCACTTGAGCCTAGGAATTTGAGATCAGCCTGGGCAACATGTGAGGCCCTATCTCTACAAAAAAAAACCCAAAATATTAGCAGAGCATGATGGCGTGCACCTGTATTCCCAGCTGCTAGGGAGGCCGAGGTGGGAAGATTGTTTAAGCCAGGAGATTGGGTTTGTGCCACTGCATACCAGCCTGGGTGACAGAGTGAGACCCTGTCTAGGAAGAGAGAGAGAGAGAGAGAGAGAGAGAGACAGAGAGAGAGAGAGAGAGCGATTATCAAGTTCACCGCTACAGGCAAAGGACCTTTGAGAAGTTTTTAGAAGCTTCCAGAATGGTTCATACAGAGAGACTGGGGTTCCCATTCCCCACTGACTGAAGATTGTCTTCTGTGGAGTTACACCCATGCTTCCAGGCTGAACCTCTGCAGGGGCTGAACTTTGAAGGAGCTAAGCAGAGAAGGATGCTTTGGAAGCCAGAAGTGGGAGTGCTGTCTGCTGAAAACTGTCCGGACTGGCTGTGCTGCAGCTGGAGCCAGAAGCAGAGCGTGGAGCTGTGGTGACGAGCACCGAAGGCGTCTGCCTCAGGACGCATCAAGCCCATTTTATTTAGTGAACAAGTGGATTATCTCTAATGCAGGTATGCACCTGGATTATAGGAATAGTGCCGGCTCCAGGCCCAACTTGCTTAAGGACGATAGAATAATCAGTACCCGCTGCCCTGTACCAAGGGAAAGGCATGACTACAGCCAAGGAGTTCAGATCCCTTATGCCTTTTCATTTTCCTAGCAGCTCTTCTATCACACATTCCTGCTCAGCACTTCCACTCCTGAGAGGCACGCGGCTACAGCTTCACTGTAAATGAGAAAGGCCCGCTGCATAAGCTCTTCTTCAGCTTCTGATGGTTCTTGTCACCTGGGATCTGCACTGGCATTTCCACGGGGGCCTCTTGGCCCACATGTCTGGTTGTGTACCAGCTCCTTTTCCTCCACCCACTCCTTCACACTGTCACTCCTCAGGGGTCTGTCTAGAGGCAGCCTGCCACCCATTGCCAGCTGCCTTCCTCGACTCTCCTCTAACTCCCAGGCTGGCAGCCACCCCCCACATGCCAGACTCTGGGTCCACCCCTCCAGTGTCCTGCTGCTCAAGACAAAAGCCCCCAACCTCCTCCTGGACTGTCAATGCACAGACGACCAACCAATCCCATCCTGGGCTCATTACCCATTCCACGGCCACACTCCAATCCTGCTCTTCCTCCTGAATTCCCTGTCTTGGGTAATACTCCACCACCCACCCTTGTCTCCCAGCCGGGAAACTCAAGGTCAGCCTCAGTCACCAAGTCCCTGTTCCCTCTACCAGTTTCCTGAGCAGCAAGAGGCTATTCCCTGGGAGGCTGGAATCTTTCTTCTTTTCTCTCCTTTTGTCTTCTGAATGTTCTCTGATGAACACTTAATACTTGCCTGATGTTCATCATGTTTCCTAATAATGAATAGGTTTCATCATGGCATATTATCATAAACATCAATCTACCTTGCTTGGTCCTGCTTGCCCAGCCCTGAGACCCTCCTAACCAGCCCCCCCTTCCAGTTCCCCTGCTCTTGGGGCATCTTCCATATGGCCACCTAGCACCCCCCTCACCAACACATTTCTCCAAGATTACCTCCTACCATCTCTGCTCCGTGGTCCCTAAATATCAGAATCATGGGGAGGTGCTTATCCACTGACTTTCTTCATCTCCCTATTATATTGTCAGCTCCTGTTCATACTGAATCCCTGGGGCCCGGCACAAAGTAAGTGCTGAATAAACACGAATTAAATGGACCAAGGGCCAGGAGTCAAGTAAATGGCATGAGGTAGGGAAATTCTGTAGAAATGGTCTCAAAGTGTGCTTGGTGGACCAGCATCTTCAACATGGCCAGGGAACTTGTTAGAAATGTGGATTCTTGGCCGGGTGCAGTGGCTCACACTTGTAATCCCAGCACTTTGGGAGGCCAAGGCAGGTACCTGGCCAACATGGTGAAATACCAGCTCTACTAAAAATGTCAAAATTTGCTGAGCATGGCAGTGCAGGCCTGTAATTCCAGCTGCTGGGGAGGCTGAGGCAGGAGAATTGCTTGAACCCAGGAGGCAGAGATTGCAATGAGCCAAGATTACGACACTGTACTCCAGCCTGGGCAACAGAGTGAGACTATGTCTCAAGAAAAAAAAGAAGAAAGGAA